CCCCAAAACCCCAAAACCCCAAAACCCCAAAACCCCTTAGAGAAACAATTTTTAAGTTTGATGAAATAGAAAACATAAAATGAGTTGTAATAACTAAAGAATAATTTACTAATAAATATAAATGAAACTAATATCTTAATATTCATTACTCATATTTTCGGTCATTGCTCAGATCTCGATTTAATTATTTACCCCTCCCGATAGTTTTAATGAAAATTATGTAACCATTTTGATATATGGAGATGGAACTCTTGAAGATTTAGAAAGAAGTCTTAATTATACATAAAATCAACCTTTCCCTAATTATGAAGTGATGGTTGCAATAAAAAGCAAGGAATTGATAGACAAAATAAATCCAAATTATAAAAATAAGACCAACATCAAATATATCTTAACTGAGGAGGTTGATGACTTTGCAAAGGTCCTTTCATAATTTTTCCATTCTGTCACTGGAGAGTACATAGTTCTTTTTCATTCAAAAACAATTAATAAGTATGATAGAATTAGAGAATAGGTTGTAGAAACAAGGACTTATAAATGTAATGTGATGGTATCAGAACTTGAAATACTAGATGATAAAGGAGAGAGACAACAAAATCTTTATCTGATAGACTAAGATTATTCAAGAAGTCTTGATTTGATCCTATTTTCATTAGATTTTAGACTAGAAGCTTCAATTATAATCAGAAAGATATTTCTTGCCTATATTTTTAGTATATCTCGTGAAGTTAACAGATACTCTGTTATTAGCTAAATAGTTAAGTATGAAGAGATTAACTTTATGTATGACTCCTATGTCTAGATAAGCCTTAAAAATTACCAAGATATCTTTGTTTAGGACTCTATTATTTAACCTTAGCAAGATCACATTAAATTTATGCATTATAATAGTTACCTTAACAAAAAAGACATTAAGATTTCTACCACATAATTTTCCAAACTTCTCAATTGTAGCTATGATTATTTAGGCTGTGATGAGGCCACACTCGACATCGTAAGATATCTAATGATCGATTCATTCTTGACTTACGATGTCCTCTATGATATTCAAAAACTAGAGTTTATCAATCAGATTGAATTAATTCATACTCATCTGTACTAGCTGGAGCATGCAAGGTCAAATCCGGAGAAATATCCATTAGTATCTGTATTAATGTCTACCTATAATAGAGATTACTATTTATTAGTATCTGTGTAGCATGTCCTTTAATAGACATATGTTAATTGGGAATTGATAATTTCTGATAATGGTTCAAGCAATCCAATAACGCACTAAATTCTTCAGTTGATTCAGAGAATTCCAAGAGTAAGAGTTTTATATCTTCAATCCAATCAAAATTCAGTATTTGCATTAAATTATGCCTTGAAATAGTCAAAAGGAGAGTATATTGCTATACAAGATGATGATGATATTATGATGCCTTTTAGATTAGAATACTAGATCAATTTTCTTAGAAACAATCCAGAATATTAGGTCTGCGCATCAGCTTACATAGCTATAACTGAAACAGGAATCCCTAAGTATTACACTAGAAATTATGACGAGACATTTGCTGGGGAAAAGACTTTATTTATGATTCTGAATTCTTTAGCACATAATACATTTGTAGTAAGAATGACAGATTAAATGAAAAGGCACTTCATTTATGATCATTAAACTCCTTTTGACTTATCACTTAGGTTTATACTATTATCATTACTTGAAAATGAAGACTTTAGATTCTTTATTTTGCCAAGACATGTAACAGGAATTAGAGATCACTCTCAAAAAATGTCTCATAATAGCGAATACTATCACTTCTAAAAATGGATATCACTTAAATAAATAGAGATTTCAGAAAGACTATTCCCAGATATTTTTGAGAATGTTAGCTTCTAATAGTATACATCAAACGTAAATAATGTAGAGTTCGAACCTGCTAAACTATTGCAATTTTCACGTATTATTGGCTGCATTTGTCATCAAGGGAACCTATAAAAACTACTAACTCATATCGAATAATTAGAGGGCCTTGTTGATAACTTCATAATTGTCTACATTTTAAATAGTTCTGAGAATCAAATTATGTAAGAAATTAATGATCATCCATTGTTTCAAAATAATCATGCTAAAAATACTATGCATATTATAAATATGACTGGTAAAGAATTAAGCAATTATATAGAATTTGAAATACCAAAAATTTTTACTAACCTTTTAGAAGCTAAAAATCTCTAGGATCATGACTATATTCTTCTATCAAACACCTCTGAATTTATCAATCCATTTTAACTAAAGAGATTCTATCAGTTAAGCTAAGACTTTGGAATATTTGGATTGAGATACCTTTAATCAGTTGATAAGGAAGATTAAATATACTAAATGACAAAGATAATATCCTATCACTTATTTAAGAACATTGGATATAAAGCGATTAGAGAATATGAAATTGATGAGAATACTTTTAAGCTAGTGCCAAGATTTGAAGATAAACTCTATACTCTATTTATTAATGGATAATATCTGAATGTTTACACAATGAAAGATTCAGGAATTTTTATAGATGATTGCGAGAGTTTTAAGCAAAGCTTAGATTCAAATGATATTTAAAAGGATAATGCATTGCTAACGCCCTCTGAGAAAAGAAAATTTGAAAATTTCTACATCTCATCACTGGCTATTTTCTAACCTTATTGTGGTATCAATATCCAAAACTAAATAGATGACGAGAAAAGTGAACTTTGAGTCCATGTTAAATTTATTTTTTTGATCAAATCAATTAAATTTTGATTTGCCAAAAACTAGAATTAATTACTTAACTTATTATTAATGATAATTTCTACTGCTGGGGTTTTGGGGTTTTGGGGTTTTGGGG